TTATGTTTAACAAAAATTTTTGCTACTTTGTAGATTAAGTCGTAGTTAAAAACTATAAACTTTCTAAAAAAGGGCTATTTTACAAATGCTATGAAACGTTTATTTTCAAGCTTTAGGGCGTTTATTTAAAAAATAAATAGTGCTTAGTCCAAAAAAATTTAGCAAACATCATTTATATTTTGACTACTGCGGTCAAAGAAAACAGAAAAATTCATTTTATTACAACATTTTTCGGTTACTATAGGTAAAGAATTTAATTCTTTTTCGACAATATTCGATTGTAGTCAACCTTACATCTATTCTGTTTAGTTTCTGATAACAAATTTTTTCCTTTGCTCAAAATTTTTTAATATATTTAAGAAAAATTTACGCTGCATTCTGGATTGATCAATAGTTGAAAAGTATCAGATTTCTAAAGAAGTGCTATATAACAAAAGCTTAAATCGTTTTCTTTTAAGTTATTAGGCGTATACTTACAAATAAAAAGTGTTAAGTACGAAAAAATTTGGCAATCATCATTTATATTTAGACTACTGCAGTCAGAAAAAAGAGAAAAAATCATTTTTAATACTACAATTTTTGGTTACTATACGTGAAGAATTTAGTTCTTTTTTAACAAAACTCGATTGTAGTAAACAAGGCATCTATTCTGTTTAGTTTCTAGTAGCCTATTTTTACCGTCTCTAAAAATTTTTTAATATATTTGAAAGAAATTTGTGGTACTTTGTAAAATAAGTCGTTATTTAAAACTATAAAATTTCTAAAAATGTGCTATGTAACCGAAGCTACGGAACGTTTTCTTTTAAGCTTAAAAGCGTATACTTACGAATAAAAAGTTTTAAGTCCAAAATATTTAGCAAACATCATTTAATTTCGACTACTGCATTCAAACAAAAGACAAAAAAACATTTTATTAGAACATTTTTTTAGTTATTTTACAGAAAAAATTTAATTCTTTTTCAACGAAATTTGATTGTGGTGAATCTGACATGCATTCTGTTTAGTTTCTTGTGGCCTATTTTTACAGTCTCTGAAATTTTTTTAATACATTTAAAAAAATTTTCGCTACTTTCTGGATTAAATCGTAGTTTAAAACTATAATATTTTTAAAAAAGTGCTTTAAACTAAACCTATAAAACGTTTTTTTTAAGTTTTAAAGCCTATACAAACAGAAAAAAAGTGGTATGTTTAATAAAATTTAGAAAATACCATTTATATTTACACCACTGCCGTCCAAAAAAAGAAAAAAATCATTTAATTAAACAATTTTTTGGCTACATTACGTGTAGAATTTAATTCTTTTTCGACAATATTCAATTGTAGTCAACCTAACATCTATTCTGTTTAGTTTCTAATAACAAGTTTTTTCCTTTGCTCAAAATTTTTTAATATATTTAATAAAAATTTTCGATACTTTGTGAATTGAATCTTAGGTAAAAAATATAAAAAATCTAAAAAAGTGCTATTTACCAGAAGCTATAAAACGTTTTCTATCAAGTTTTAAAGCGCATACTAACAAATAAAAAGTGTTATGTCCAATAAAATCCAGCAAATATCACTTAAATTATAAAAACTGCAGTCTAATAAAAAAGAAAAAAACTTTTGCTTTTTACTTTTTTTGGTAACTTTATGTGTAGAATTCAATTCTCTTTTGACGAATCTCGAATGTACTCAACCTGACGACTATTCTGTCTTGTTTCTAGTAGCACATTTTACCGTCGCTAAACATTTTTCAAAATATTTAGGAAAAATTTTCGCTTCTTTTTATATTAAACAATAGTTGAAAACTATCAAATATCTAAAGATGTGCTATATAACAAAAGCTATAACACGTTTTCTTTCAAGATTCAAAGCGTATACTAACAAATAATAAGTGTTAATTTTAATAAAATCTAGCAAATAACATTTATATTTCAACAACTGCAGTCCAAAAAGAGGGAAAGATTCATTTTATTATAACTTTTTTAAGTTACCTTACGTTAAGAATTTAAGTATTTTTCGACGAAACTTGATTGTATTCGACCTAACATCAATTCTGTTTTTTTTCTAATAGTACATTTTTGCCGTCGCTTATAATTTTTAAATATATTTAAGAAGAATTTTCGCTTCTTTCTGGATTGATCAATAGTTGACAACTATCAGATTTCTAGAGAAGTGCTATATAACAAAAGCTTAAATCGTTTTCTTTTAAGTTATTAGGTGTATACTTACTTATAAAAATTGTTAAGTACAAAACAATTTGGCAATTATCATTAATAATTGGACTACTGCAGTTAAAATAAAGAGAAAAAATCATTTAATTACAACTTTTCTTGGTTACTTTACGTGAAGAATTCAATTCTTTTTCCAAAAAAACTCGATTGTAGTCAATCTAATATCTATTCTGTTTAGTTTTAAATAACACATTTTTACCTTCGCTAAAAGTTTTAAATAGAATTAAAAAGAAATTTTCGCTACTTTCCGGAATAAATTGTTGTTAAAAACTATAAAATTTCTAAAAAAGTGCTATTTA